GTGTGAGGCAGTGTGTGTGTGTGTGTGAGGCAGTGTGTCTGTGTTTGTGTGTATGTGTGTGTCTGTGATTGTGTGTATGTGTGTGTGTGTGTGAGTGTGTGTGTGTGAGAGAGTGTGTGCGTGTGTGTGTGTGAATCATAATAAGTTGTACAATTGGGTTATTAATTATGTAGACACCATCATATTCAAAACACTAAAAAAGGTTGTAGCAAATATGTAATAATGTGAAAAACTCTAGGCATTTTCATGCACTGAATTATGCTTTTTTTAAATGTTGATCATTATAAAATATATTATCTCAATAAAATAAGCTGTCTTGAATTGCAATATAAAATGGCTTATTCATGTACCTGAATGATGGACAATAGACATCCTTCACTCTAGGGCAATATTTAAATGACATCTATCACAATAAGACTATAAATCGAAATTGCTGATATTACAGTGTTCCATTGCTTTCAGTAATTGCTTAATTTTAATCTTTATACTAATTTGAAATTAAAATCGGAGTCTTGCAAGTTATTAATGACATTGTTGTCTTTTATGGCTGTGCTATTCACACTGTAGGGAGGGGACAAGACTGAGAGAATCAGGTTTAAATAATGACGTCTGTTGTCAGCAGCTTGATAAAACACCAGTGAAATATAGCTGGTCTTAATATGTCAAGAAATTAACTGGCATGGCCTGAAATTTCCTTGAAGATGCTAGTGGGACCAATGTGACAATTGTTCTGCTTTGGAGCAAGGGATTTAGTTAAAACATTGTTTCAAAATACTGAATTTTGTACCTTTGGATGTGTTTTTGTTCCCAGAACAAGCGCAGACGTGCCATTCTGCCACTAGGGGACGGTAAGGCTCCACTTATACAATACCAGGGGTAAAGGAAAATTCCACTCGTACTTCCCAATGTGATTGTGATCGCGTGCCGAGCTTCTTATTAATGTACTGTCAGAGAATAAAATACAGTTGTGTCTTTAAGTCCTGTTGAATAGTGACTTAAAATGTGTGCTGAGAATAAAAGCTTCTGCACAAAAAAAGTTTGTTTTTTGTATAAACAAATAGCAATAACTGAATTCAATTTATGTTAACTAAAACACACCAAATGCTGCTTTTGCAGACTTTGACATGTAAGTAAAAATTGATCTCTGTTTAATGAATAAGGCAAGTACATTTTCTCCTCAATGCATAATGTGCTTGTGGTCTCTGCGTTGTATGTATATTAGAAATCTCTGCATTGTTTCTTGAGGAATCCTGACTAACTACAAAAATATTCTGCTGCTTCCTAAGGGATTTTAATAAGCTCTGAAAATGTCTGATGTAAACTAAAGTTCACAGCACTATGTTCCACCTGACCAGATGCCAAAAATGTGTACAGTGCAGGGATTATACACAGCTTAACAAATGGAAAATAGCATCTAATCTGATGTTCACCACTGAGAATTGAAGAAAACTGAGATCCTAGCAAAACAGAAATCTACCAGATGTCCTGCTAATGCAGTATCTGAGGTGACTTGCCCTTATTAACCTTCTAGCAGCCCCATTTAAATCTGTCTTCAAACATTGAAGAACGCAGGGCTACTTTGTTTTGTGTCACTGGTATTTATATACATGTTATCTGGTTACTGGTTGCAAATGCATGTAATACATCTGAATTCATAGTGCCGTTTTGATCCCTCTAAAACCAGTAACAATGGCACTTTCCCTTGGCATTGTACTACATGAGAGTGAATGGAAATCCGAACTAAAGTGTATGAAGCTAGACAGGTAGGCTGGTAATTTCTGCTTTGGCAGAGTGCTGTATGCATTGTGGCCAAGGGAGTATTTCTATCAGCTGCAATGGCTTGGCACTGGCTCTGATTTTCTATGTTTGGGTAATCTTGCATTGCTAGGACATGAACAATGGAAATTCATATTGTACAATCTGCAAGAAGTTCCAAATATATTGGAAAGGGAAAACAAATATTCTTTATATTGTGTTTTCGCAGCCTCAGGACAACCCAAGCCACTTTATAAACAAACACTTGTTGGATTTCTTTTTCATGAGAAGTGACAAGGTTAGCATTGTTGTCCATCCCTAATTGCCCTTGTTTGGGCCATTGCAGAGGGCAGTTAAGATTCATCCACTTCAATGTGCCTGAAGTCACATATAGTCCGGGTCAGGATGGCAGATTTTCTTTCCTTGAGGGAATTAGATTGCCCCCTTCCCTCCAATGATTGATGATAGTATCAAGGTCATTGTAACTGAGACTCGGTCTTGAGTCCAGATTTATTACTTGAATTTAAATTCCACCAGCTGTAAGGGTGGGATTTGAACCCATTTCCCCCAGCAATAAACTGTGTAGCCAGTAATGTTATAGTTATACCACTGTCTCCATTCATAGTGCAGTCTAATGTAGCAAATACAGCAGTGCACAGCAAGATCTCACAAACAGCATTGATTGATGGATAAATCTTGTCAAGAATGCCCATTGGAATTCCCCTGCATGTCTTTAAAATAATGCCATGGGTATCTTTTGCATCCAGCTGAGAGAGTCAAAAGAATCTCGGTTTCATACTTTGTTTGAAAGGCGATGTTTCTGAAGGTGCAGCCCACCTTTGTACCGCACTTGAGTTTCACCCTAAATCTTTCCGCTGCAGTTCCTGTCCCGGATGTATGTGTGCTCACGTTTGGAAGGTTGTGACAGTCTTTAAAATGGTGCAGGAGTAAATTAACCAAAATGAAGGATGAGCGATTTAGCAAAAGCCTGAACAGTTGGAGAACCTGAGTTGTTCACTTTGGAGCAAATGGGGGTTGAGGTGAGATCTGACTGAGGTCCACAATGTTACGATTTGTTTAGATGTAACCAGCACAGCAATTAAACAACTACTTTGATTCTGCATTCACAGAATAAGATATAAATAACTTCCCAGAATTGCTTCTGAAGCAACGGTCTGATGGAAATGAGGATTCGAAGGAAATGAGTATTCATAAACAAAGAAGTGCTGGAGAAATGAATGGGGCTGAAAGCTGATATATCCCCAAGGCCCGATCAACTATATCCCAGGGTGGTGGCTGTAAATGCATCGGTTATCATGTTCAAAAATTCTGTAGATTGTTGGACAGTGCCAGCAAATATGCTGGTGGCCAATGTAGCCGCATTATTTAAAAAAAGGAGTGGGAGATAAAAACAGAATTACAGACCAGTTACTCAACATCAGTGGTGGATAAAATGCTAGAGTTTATTATAGAGGACATGATACAGGACACTTAAGTTAATTTATCAATTAACCTGAAAAGGAAATCATATTTGACAAGCCTGCTGGAATTTTAATGAGGATCTAACCAGTAGAATAGATAAAGGAGAGCCAGTAGGTTTGATGTGCTTGATAAAGTCCCACAAAATAAGTTTGTGTGCACATGAAATCGAGGGAAATATATTGGCATTGATTGAGAATTGGTCAGCAGACAGGAAATAGAGAATAGGAATAAATGGGTCTTTTTCAGATTGGAAGGTGATGATCAGTGGTATCCCACAGGGATTAAATCTTTGGCCTCATCTATTCACAATATATATCAACAATTTGGATGGGGGGAATTAAAAGTAGCATTTCCAAGTTTGCTGACGACACAGATCTAGGAGGAGCTGTGAGTGTTGCAGAAAGAGTGAAGATGTTTCAAGGCAATGTAGCCAAGTTGAGGGAGTGGGCAAATATATGCTAGATGCAGTGTAATGTAGATAATTGTATTATTAAACTTCATTTAAATGGTGATAGATTGGGAAACATTGAAGTGCAAAGGGACCTGGGTGTCCATGTACACTGATCACTGAAAGCAAGCAAGCAGGTGCAGTAAGCAGTTAGGAAGGCAAGTGGTGTGTTAGCCTTCATTGCAGGAGGATTTGAATATAGGCACATGAATGTCTTGCTGTAGCTGTACAGGGCCTTGGTGAGAACACACCAGGAGTACTGTTTGCAGTTTTGGTCTCCTTACCTGAGAAAAGATAAACTTCCCATAGAGTGAGTGCAGCAAAGGTTCACCAGACTGATTTTGGGAAGGCAGGTTTGTCCTATGAGGAAAGATTGATTGATTGGGCCTATATTTGCTAGAGCTTAAATGAGTGAGATAGGATCCCATTGAAACATATAAAATTCTAAGAGACGGGTAGAGTTGCTATTGATTGAGTAGGAGAACAAAGGGTCAACGCCTCAGGAGACAAGGTGGACCATTTCAGACTGAGATATAGAAAAATTTCTTCATTCCTTGTGGAATTCTCTACCATCTAAGGCAGAGTCCAAGTCACTGAATATATTGATGAAATAAATAGAGTTGTAGACACTAGAGGTATCAAGGTGTATGGGGACAGAGCAGGTATGTAATATATGAGGAGCAGCCACAATCATATTGAATGGCAGAGCAAACTTAGTTGGCTGAATGACTTACTCTTATTCCCATTTTCTAATAGACAAAGAAAAGCTGATCCCAGTCACTGGACAAAGGGACACAGATTTAAGGTTTTCAGCAACAGATACAGGGAAATGTGAGGGAGGTTTCTTTCACACAGTGAATGACAATGACCTGGAACTTGTCGACTCCAAAGCTGGTGGAATTGGAAATAATGAATGATTTAAAAAGCAAATTGGATGGTCCCTTGAGGAAAATAAACACGAACAGCAAAAGCAATCAAGTGGGAGAAGGGGACTGATGGGATTGATTTACAGAGCGCAGATATAGATCGTAGAACCCCTACAGTGTGGAAACAGGCCCTTTGGCCCCACGAGTCCACACCAAACCTCAGAGCATCCCACCCAGACCCATCCCCCTATAACCCACTTAATCTACACATCCCTGAACACTACAGGCAATTTAGCATGGCCAACCCACCTACCCTGCACATCTTTGGACTGTGGAGGAAACCAGAGCACCCGGAGAAAACCCACGCAGACACGGGGAGAATGTGCAAACTCCACACAGACAGTTGCCCGAGGGTGGAATCAAACCCAGGTCCCTGGTGCTGTGAGGCAGCAGTGCTAACCACTGAGCCACCGACTGAAGAGCAACGTTTTCTTTAAGTTGTACAGCCACTCTGAGGTTCTGCACATGACGATTGGCATGTTGATGCTTCTATTTCCAGTTTTGGAGGCATTTCGAGGCCTGTGAGCTGAAGAAACGAATTAAAGGGAGTGTTGCTGAGGTGCTCCTCCCTTGTGCTAATGAGTTTATGACTCGATGACACTGATCCAGAGCTGGTAGCAGGAGTTGGCTCAGTATTTGCCTCTATGGCCCACTAGAGTTACAGCCAGAAGCTGGGGTGGACTCCAATAGAAGATCCTGCTTTCTTTGTGTCAGTAGAAAACTATCATGGAGCTTGTCAGTGCCTCAAACTGAAATCCTCACCGTTCTCTTTCAGCTGCATATGGTTTTTGGAAGCTTTTTTTCTGTTTTCCAGCTCAGACTATCATCTCAGTTTGAATGAACTAACTCAACAAAGAATCACAATCAAATAAAAGTTTTTGTGTGCTCTGTCTTGCTTTTTGTCTATTTGGCAAAAACAACTGAGATTTTTTATTTTGTAAGATGTCTGGTGCACAAAATCGTTTCCAATCTACAATAAAGTAAAAGTGCAGCAATAAGATCACGCAGGTCAAGGTAACATGATTAATGGATGGTGGCTCTGTGGTGAGTACTGCTGCCTCACTACACCAGGGGCCTGGGTTTGATTCTACCTTTGGTCTGTGTGCTGTTTGCACATTCTCCCTGTATCTGGGTGGGTTTCCTCCCACAGTCCAAAGATGTGCAAGATAGGTAGATTGGCCATGGGAAATTGCCCATAGTGTCCAGGGATGTGCAGGCTAGGTGGATTAGCCATGGGGAAATCAGGGTTATGGGGATAGGGTGTGTCGGGGTGTAATGCTCTTCTACTCTCTGCTTCCTGTTAGCCAGCTAATTTTCTATCCATACCAATATGTTAAACTCAAGGCCATGAGCTTTTACTTTCTGCAATGACCTTTGGTGTGGACTCAATAGCCTGCTTCAACATTGTAGGGATTCTACGATTCA